GCTTTTTTCTTTTTGCTTATGTGGTGCTGAGGAATCGAACTCAGGGCCTCAGGCATAAAAAGCCAGCGCTCTACCACTGAGCCACCTTCCCAGCCCAGTAATAATATTTTTTTTAAAGAAGATAACACTCAACATAGTATTAAGTCTTGTAGTTAATTCTGGGGTCATGCTGTAATTCTTGGATTAGATGATAATTTCATTTCACCTAAGTCTATGGCCCTATTCTTTATAACATATATAATTCTTTTACAAACATCAAATACATTTTTAAAAGAACACCTTTGTATTAAAACATTCAAAAATGAAGCTCATACCTTCCACTATGCTGGACTTAGCAAGAAATCCTGAAGATGTTTTCAGAGCACCATTGAATACCACAAAACTTGCACCTGTCACTGATAATAAAATAACCATTATGTTATAAAGTGCTTATTTTATGTTATGTGATATTCGTGAAAATCAGAATATGGACCATTTTTTTTTGAGGGGGGAATGCTAGTCCTGAGGTTTGAACTCAGAGCCTGGGTACTGTCCCTGGGCTAGTGCTTCATAGAACTTGAGTCACAGCACCACAGACGGGGCGGAGGAGAGAGGGAGAGAAGAGAGAGAGAGTGTGTATGTGCTGTCCCTGGGCTTCTTTGCTCAAGGCTAGTGCTTTATACCACTTGAACCACAGCTCTACTTTCTCTCTCTCTCTCTCTCTTTCTGTATCTGTGTGTATGTATGTGTGTGTGCAGTACGCGTAAATTAATTGGAGATAAGAGTCTCCTGAACTTTCCTGCCCAGTCTAGCTTCAAACCATGATCCTCAGATCTCAGCCTTCTGAGTTGCTAGGATTACAGGCATAAGCCACCAGTGTCTGGGCAAGATCATATATGTTTTAAGTACTCAATAAATATTATGTTTCTAATACATCAGAAATCCAATAAAAAAGATAAAATTAAAATATAGAATAAAAACTTAATTTTTTGTGTAATAAATAATAGGCTACACTATGTTAAATGTTTATGCTTATATAAGGGTATGAGAAATAATATTAGTGAGACCATAATTCAGAAGGGAAGCCCACACCTGATAACTGTATATTAAATTACAAATAAATGTGACTTTGACACAGAAATTCCATTTGTAGGAACTCATCCTACAGATAATGTATGTGGTTATTCAGAACAGCATTTTTATAAATAGCTGACAATTTATAACAACATAAGGGACAGATAAGCTAATTATCAACAAAGAATTATCACCATGAAATATTTAAAAAAAAACCAAGATGCACAAATGGAACAATGTTATAACTTATCTTTAAAAAATCTGAGAGATGGGGCTGGGAATGTGGTCAGTGGTTGAGTGCCTGCTGGCAAGCATGAAGCCCTGGGTTCAATTCCTCAGTACCACATAAACAGAAAAAGCCAGAAATGATGCTATGGCTCGAGTGGTAGAGCACTAGCCTTGAACACAGACAGGCTCAGGGACAGAGCCCAAGCCCCAAGTTCAAGCCTCAGGACTGACAAAAATAATTTTTTTAAATATCTTAGAGATGATGTCTATGCATGTATGTATTTACTAATGGAAAAAATGTCTCTGAAAAAGGGATCAAGGAGCTGACTAATACTAGTTCAGTTACCTGTAAGAGGATGCCTAGATAGTTAAGGGACAAAAATGTTCTTTTTAATTACTGTATAAATATTCATATGTTCTGAATCTTACCACACGTATTTTTGTCTGTGCATATATATTTACTTATCAACCAATATTGAGTTATTAAATGTAATGACGTTAATTTACATTAAGTAAAACATAATACAAAAAGTATAAATACCCAGTATAAAATGTTAAAAAGGAAAGATAATAAAATGCCAACAATAGCCTTTTCTCGGCAATCTTTCTTTTACTAGTTTTCAAAGGACATTTCCTAAGCTCACTAAAAATTAGTATATGTTGCCTTTATAAAGAGGAAAAAGTTGTATTAGCATCCAGAGTATCAGGCTATTTTAAGTATGTTATCCTATAATAATGTGTTAAATACATGGAATACTTATCTCTACCTCACTTCACATTTTTCAGGCCCAGTATTTTAAGGATTTGGTAATCACAGCAGTCATTGAGGCCATTCAGCCACAACAGAGCATAATGCCACTCATACATGTTCTTCACTTGACCATCTTCATCATTTTTATAGCCTGACCTATTTATAATTTTACATATCTTCACCTTTTTCCACCCTGTGCTTTCCTAACTAACAGAATTAGGCAGGGACTAAATGCGAAAATGAAACCACCTTACTCCAAAGAGAATTACTCAGACTCGTCCCATAGTGTATATTAAACATGAATAGCACAAAAGGACTGAAGTCTTACAAGTCTTCAAGCTTGATTAACAAGAAAATATCACAAATTGGAAGTAATTCTACCAACACGTTATTTATGTAGCTGAAATTTCAAGCAATTAAGCAACTAAGAATTTATTATCATTTCAGCAAATATGTAAAATATATGTGTATTTTCCTTAGAAGTGAGTTCTTCAATTGAAGAGGCTTTATAAATTAGCACTAGGAGCAGTGATCTTACCTTTTCTAGGATGACCAGTGGCACTGTTGGCCTGTGTTTGATAAACACCATCATTCTGCACACAGACCAGATGGGAATCTGCTTCTGTACTAAAACTAGCTCCAATACTAATGACATGCTCATTAGAAGAATTTATTACTTTCATCACCTAGAAAAAAAAAATCACTTGATGATGAAAAAATAGGATTAAATAAATTATTACCAAATCCTAAAATGTCAATTTCATACTTGTTGCCATTATATATTAGCCTAATTCAAAATAAAAAATGTATTTTAACAATACTAAGCAATTCTAATGTTTAACATATTCTTTAAAATTTTAATAAACCAAGTATACTCACATCATTGTATTTTTTCCGAGGGATTTTTATACAACTTTTTCCCATTTCCATATGAATCAATAGCTGGTCTATATTATGCAAGGTATATTGATAATTTCGAAGATCCTACATAAAAGAATCACATTTCCACAAACTTTACATTGCTACTCACAAACATTTACCTATCCATTAAAGCCTTTTAGTCTCTACCACATTAAAGCTTCTGACAGAGCTATCAAAATGCTATCTAGAAAGCTAGTACCAATTGTATAAGTTGTTACAAAACTAAACAAATCCTTCCAGCTACCCAATAGAAGACTTCTGCAGTGCTTGGTGATAACTTCTATTTCTAGCCCCAGATCTTCCAAATACAGGTCTTTGCTATGGTTTTCCTGTTTCCCAAAAGCCATGTGCTAAATGTTTGTTAACCTGTGGTGCTGCATGGGAGGGGGAGCTTTTTGGAGGAGGTGCTTAGTAGAAGAAAGTTTGGTCATTGAAGTGTGCCTTGAAGAAGATATTAGTGTCCCAATCCTTTCATGTTTCTTTGCTACCCAGCCACCATCAGGTGAGCAGACTTCCTCTGTGAAGAGCTCTCACATGTTGTCCTATGCTCTCCCCTACAAAACAGTGTCAAGTGGTTATGGGCTGAAACCTCTGAAACTATGGAACCAAAGTAAACCTTTTCACTTTATAATTTGATCACTTCAGGTATTTTGTCATATTAGCAGAAATCTGACTAACACAGTCTTGAAACCAGATATGGATTAATGAAAAATCCATAAACATTTCTCTATGGCAACAAGTAAACACAAAATTACAAAATGGGTGAAAGGGAATCAAACTGCACTGAATCCAACCTTTGCTATTACAAATGTGGAAACTAAGGCCATTATTTGTCCCAAACCACAAATTGATTTTACTACTAATCCTTCTACTAATCCTTTTACTAAAGCTTCAACAATTCTAGAGCTCTGTGTAAAGGTCTCATATTACCTAAGTATGTAAAAACTGCAACAGAACTCATCAGAACATATCAGAATCATTCATCCATAAATGAAGAGATACCGAAATAAAACTCATCAAAAATACTCTATATTAAGTGAATTAGGTTTTAATAAGAGTTTTCAGATACCCAAAATGCCAAATCAAAACGGTAAACAAATACAATTTGTTCAATAGTTCAACTACTAGTATAAGAATACTTAATAAAATAACTTGTTACTCACAACAAGTAAGTTCATAATAGTGTGTCCTATTTCTCCGAAAAGAGGTTTTCTGCCTCTGATACTTGTTAGAGGTACAGGATAGGCTACATATACATAAGAAAAACTGGTTACTACCAATAAAATTTTAAAAAATAAAGTCATGTTTATTATTTTAATTCTTATTTTCAAGCAAACATTATGCATAAGCACCACTCAGTCATTAGGAGAAAATGAAAGATGATATTAACCCTTATTGTGTAAATTTACATTATTCTCAACAGATTCATGGCCTATCAGTGTTACAAAAGGGAATTTATATACTACCTAATTTAAGACTTAATGACTTTCCAATCAGACTGTCTCAACATTAAAGCATAGCTAATTCGCATTAGTTTTAGTAATTTATTCTGAGACCTTAACTTTTTTTTTTTTTGGGGGGGGGTCTGGTCATGGGGCCTGAACTCTGGGCCTGGGAGCTGTCCCTCAGCTCTTCAGCTCAAGGCTAGTGCTCTACCACTTGAGCCACAGAGCCACTTCCGGCTTTTTTCTTTTTGCTTATGTGGTGCTGAGGAATCGAACTCAGGGCCTCTGGCATGCAGGGCATGCGCTCTACCACTGAGCCACCTTCCCAGCCCCCTGAGACCTTAACTTTTGTCATTAGCTTGTTTCATATTGTAAATTGTACATATCTATAATAAAAGCCAAGCGATATCTAAAATTACACGAGCACCACTACCTTCTAAATGCCAATTTTGCTGTGTGTTGGTGGCTCATGTTTGTAATTCTAGTTGCTCAGAAGGCTGAGATCCAAGGATCACTGTTTAAAGCCACCCTGGATAGGAATGTCCACAAGACTCTTATTTCCAATTAACCAGCAAAAAGCCAGAAATGGAGCTGTGCCTCCAGGGTAGAGCACTAGCTTTGAGGGAAAATAACTATAAGGGAAGATAGAACCCAGGACCTGAATTCCAGCCCCAGTAACTTCACACAAATGCACAGACCCAAACAAAACAACAAATTAAAAAACTGCCAGTTTATCTAAAATTTAGCAGAACATAAGAATACAGAAAATAGTTGAGAGTACTTATTTCCATGTATAATTGATTATTTTTCTTCATTATCACTAAATAGGTATTAACTTTACAGTTTCAACACTTGCAATTTTAAAAAATAATTTACACGTGTTGCTTCAAAATTTTCCAACTTTCGGTCCTATTGTTTATAGATGTTATCAGCCAAAATACTGGCCTTTATTACAGACTGTATTTTCCCTACTCACTATGATTAGCTAGTCACTTCAAATCATCCATAAAAATAGCATTCAAAATGGGCACTGGGGACTCATGCTTGTAATCCTAGCTATTATACTAAGATACAAAGTTAGCCTGGGCAGAAAGGTTTTTGAGACTCCATATTCAAAATAACCAGCAAACAGCCTGGCTGGAGATCTGGCTCAAAGTTAACATTTGTCATGAACAAACAATCTGAACATGGCCCAGACCTAGGAAACAAAACAAAATATAATACACAAAAAATGACATTCCAATATTATCAGAAACAAAACATTAGGCTGAATGGAGAAAGAGTTGACTCAATTAACTATCTTCTCTGGTTTATACAAAACAAAAATCTCAAAGGAAAGTAATTTTTGTTGTTGCTGCTGTTTTAGTAGTACCAGGGGTTGAACTCCGGACCTTGTACTTGCTAGGCAGGTGCTCTACCACTTGATTCATGCTCCCAGCCCTTTTTGCTTTAGCTTTTGTAGGAAAAGGGGTCCAGGGTTTTGGGGGCCAGTCTAGGAATGACAGGTGCACACCATCATGCCCAACTTATTGGCTGAAATGTTGTCTGGACTTTATGCTGGACTAGCCTCAAACCACAATGTGGCTTTAAAAATTTTCCCTATATTGAACTTTCCACCAAGAAAATATTATTTAGAGCCGGATGCTGGTGGTTTACACCTGCAATCCTAGTTACTCAGGAGGCTGAGATCTGAGGATCACAGTTCAAAGCTGGCCTTTGCAGAGAAGTCTGTGAGACTCTTATCTCCAATAAACCACTCAGAAAACTGGAAGTGGCGCTGTGGCTCAAGTGGTAGAGCACTAGCCTTGAGCTGAAGAGCTGAGGGAAGCACCCAGGTACAGAGTTCAAGTCCCATGACCAACAAAAAAAAAATTTATTATTTAGAATCAAATGCCTAAAATTCATCAGATGTGATATACTGCCCATTTACCAAATTATTTCTTGAAAAATATTAAGGATAGGGGCTGGGAAGGTGGCTCAGTGGTAGAGTACTTGCCATGCATGCATGAGGCCCTGGGTTCGTTCGATTCCTCAGCACCACATAAGCAAAAAGAAAAAAAGCCGGAAGTGGCACTGTGGCTCAAGTGGTAGAGCGCTAGCCTTGAGCTGAAGAGCTGAGGGACAGCACCCAGGCCCAGAGTTCAGGCCCCATGACCGGACCTCCCCCCCCAAAAAAAATTAAGGATAAAGATCTAATGAGAAGCTGGGCGCTGGTGGCTCACGCCTGTAATCCTAGCTACTCAGGAGGCTGAGATCTGAGGATCGCGGTTCAAAGCCAGCCCGGGCAGGAGAGAACGTGAGACTCCTATCTCCAATAAACCACCAGAAAACTGGAAGTGTCGCTGTAGCTCAAGTGGTAGAGCGCTCGCCTTGAGCTGAAGAGCTGAGGGACAGCGCCCAGGCCCAGAGTTCAAGCCCCACGACCGACAAAAAAAAAAAAAAGATCTGATGAGAATTCAAATGTTAAACCACTAACTGGGTACTGTTGGTTCACATAGCTACTCAGGAAGCTTAGATCTGAGGATAGAGGATTTGAAGCTGTCCAAGGCAGACAAATTAGAGAAACTTTTATTTCCAATTAACTTGGGGGCGGGGGCCCCGAAGACGCTAGAAGTGAAAATGTTACTCAAGTGGTAGAGCACTCAAGTAGCCATGAGCAGAAAAGCTGAGCAAGAGTTTTGAGGCCTAGAATTCAAGTCCCAATACTGGCATCAATTCTCCTCCTCACTAAAAAAAAAAGAGTAACACTGTAATTAATTTTGTGATCTATACCTAGGCCATTACAACAGTTTCCAAATCTCCAGTTGTGTCAAAAGTATATACAAGAACACACACACACACACACAAACAATTTAGCCTCTATCACTTTTTTGTTGTTTTTATGCCAATACCAGAGCAAACTTAGAGGGGTTTAGTACTGTCCCTTAGCTTTTTCACTCAAGGCTAGCACTCTACTACGTCTAGCCACAGCTCCATATCTGGCTTTTTTGCTGTTTTAATTGGAGATAAGAGCTAGCTTCAAACTGCAACCCTCAGATCTCAACCTCTTGAACAACTGCAATTATAGGTATGGGCTCCCAGTGCCTAGCATTATCATTTTTGAGTAATAAATTATATCAAGAATCCAAAACTAATAATTAAAAATTTAAGGCACAGAAAAATGACAAAATACTTAACTCTTGGTTATAGTCAGCAAGTAAATAAAGTAGCACTGATAATCTAAGGGGTAATTATTCACTCTCACTAATACATGCTTCTATGAAGACTTCAACAAAAATAACACTATCAAAGTTTTCTACATTTTGTTTGGAATTTCAGAAAACATTTAAAGTTACTTATGAACACCTAGAAACTACATAACATACCAAGGTTGTCTAGATTAACTTGGTAGAAGATGCTTCAGGAATTTAAAAATAGAGCAAATGAAAAGTAATTCCAGTAAATCTGTTACATTATTTTAATAATCTCCCTGAATGTTTTCCTTTACAGTGCATTTAAAAATATACAATCTTATTATTCTCAAACTTACCTTTATATTCTGTACCCAATCTCAACATTAAACGCATAGGAAAAACTTTTGCCCAAGGAATTTCCAGTTTCTGGATAAGAATTCCACAAAGAAAAGGATTACTTGGTAATGGGAGATCATCAAGTTTCTGAAAAGTAGGTGTAATAAACAAGAATCCTCCATGATCCTTGCTATTGAGAAAACTCTCAGTAAAGGTAATATTGTCCAAGTTTTCTACATATTTTCCTAGAAATAAAATTGTTAATAAAAACATTAAAAATTGTTTTGTTATTGTTGACAAAACTTTTCAATTCTAAATGTCCAACCCAGAGTTTATTAAGACAAATAGAGAATGTTTTTCTCATTCCTACTTTTCCTTTTTCCATTTTCTCTTTTTGTTTGGTAGGGTAGTGAGAGGGGCAATAATGCGGTTGAACTCAAGACATCACATATGATAGGCAGGTGCTCTACCACTTAAGCCACATCTTGGATATTTTTTAGTTATTTTTTGCACAATGTCTTGCATTTTTGTCCAGGGCCAGGCTAAGACCATAATCTTACTACCTAATGCTTCCTGAGTAGCTGGCATCACAGTATATACCATGCTAGACTACTGATTGAGATAACGTTTCACTTTTTTTTGACACTGGTTGGCTTGGAATTATAATCATCCCAATCTCTCTGGAGTAGCTGGGACTACATTTGTGAACCACCATGACTAGTCTGCTTATTTCTAATCTTAGACAAGTAGCTAGGCTGTGTGGTGGCACATAACTATAATCTCAGCCTCTTAAAATGCAGAGAATAGGAAGATAATCAGTTTGATGCCAAAGCCAGCCCAAGCAGTAAAGTCCATGAGACTCTTATCTCCAATAAACTACTAGGAAACTGAAAGTGGCACTGTTGGCTAAAGTGGTAGAGTGCTAGCCTTGAGCTGAAGAGCTGAGGGACAGCACCCAGGCCTAGAGTTCAAGCCCCACAACAGCCAAAAAAAAAAAAAAAATCAAGGAAGTAGACAGATTTCCATTTTAAATATTGAACTTCTATATACAGACACAAATCACTAATTAATTTAGTGCTAAGTTTAAGAAGATGAAAAATGATTATTAATTATCCTTAAATCTATCATTATAAGGGGAGTGAAAATGATGATTAGGTTCTTTTAAGGAAATCAGCAATCCCTTTACAGCAATGAAGTAAGAAGACTGCAAATGAAGCAATCTTCCATATAATTTACACAAGCAAAAACATAAACTCCTTTAACTAGTTTATACATCTCCTATTCTGACAGTACTAATAAAATGTTATACCTTTTAGAGCATTTTTATACAAAGTGATGAACAGTTTGAAGATGTCCTTAGGAATTCTATCTTCATTTGGCAAGCATAACAACAGAATAAAAATTTCTGCCTGTCCCAAACCATGCAATCCATTGGTTGAGAAGTACCAATATTTTTCTGAAGAATCTTGAATGACAAAAGCATACAATCATAAATTAACTTCTATTAATCTAATAAGCTAAAACCTGTTTTTGCATGAAGCACAACTTTTTGAATTTCTTATTTTCTTATTTTAATGTAAGAAAAGAAAAAGGATTATCTTAAATCAAAGAACAAATAATACTGAAGAGGTTTACTAATATTCTGAAATAAAGTAAGTTAAGAATATGTTACTTTCAAAGAGAATAATAAGCTGACAAATATATTACTGAGTAATGAGGATTATTATTCAGGAATTTTTAAATTAGATTAATGTCATTTACTTTAAAACTTATCTTTCTTGCTACTAAATCATGCTTCCTGCTTATCTCATTTACCAAATGTCAACTTTTCCAAAAGCCATGAGTACACTGTATAGAATTAAAATATACTGTATTTATTAAAACAATGAACTTAACCTAGGATGAACAGAGGGATATTACGAAAACCTTTTTAAGCTTATACATCAAGTTCCATTGATTATAAGTTTGTAAAATTTATTTAATCATACATGACTGAAGAACCAACATCAAATGCTGCTTATTTTTTTCACTGTTGCTATTCAAAATCTTACTTAAAGGACATAATTATTTCAGAAGTCTAGCTTAACAATTAAGCAAAAAGATGAATATTTACTTACAAGATACTAATTTGACATTCACAAGTAGATTAGCATTTAGGATAAATGTAACAGGACGAAAACCTTCACCTTCAAGAAGCAAAATTATTTGTTCATGGGATGGGTGCTCTTGTATGACAGGCACTAAACAAAAGAGGTCACATATCAATCAGCACAAATATCTTCTTAAATATGCTTACAATGAAAAAATACAAATGTGAAAATTCACCAATAGCTTGATGAAACTGAAGAACAAAAATATATTCATAAAATCAATTGATATCCTGTCAACTATTTTATAGTCATCTTTACCTTTCTATCCAGGAAAGATATTATAAATGCAACAAATCATTTGTATATATAGTTACTATAAATATATGTAGCAATATATATATACATATAGTACATAAGTATATATAGAATATGTACAAATGCATTGATTAAACAGCTTACATGTAAAACTTTAGCATCTTCAAAATTTTAAAACAAGTATGTCAAAAGTGCATTCTAGTTTGGCCATCATTCCAATTCTAGCTTCTGAAATTTACAAGTATGTGAAAATTTCTAGTTTACAAAGAGCAAATATGGATAACTTGGGGGTATACTGTTAGCTTTATGTTATAAATGCTTCTTGGTGCTATAGTGACACACAGTTAAAAAAATATATATAGGAAATATACAAGGCATACGAAGAATACACTTCATATATTTCTGTCACTGTAGCTGTTTATGAAAAGGACCCTACAGGGAAGGTGGCTCAGTGGTAGAGTGCTTGCCTTGCACACATGAGGCCCTGGGTTTGATTCCTCAGCACCACATAAGCAGAAAAAAAAAAGCAGGAAGTGGCGCTGTGGCTCAAGTGGTAGAGCGCTAGCCTTGAGCTGAAATGCTGAGGGATAGCACCCAGGACCAGAGTTCAGGCCCCACAACCGACAAAAAAAAACAAAAAGAAAAGAAAAGGACCCTACAGACAGCCCAAGAACAGGTATCTTAAGCTTCTTCTCCCTATATCACGTAGAGGACCAGCATTTCATGTTTCATGATACAACATAATGGCTGAGATGCCAAGTACCTATTCTAGGGTGCCACTCTGAGTTATGAGCGAGTCATATATCTCTAACTTGGAAAGGACCTTAGAGATCATTTTGTTTATAAAGGAAACTAAGACCCAAGGAAATAAAATAAGATGCTTAAATCACATGTGAAATAAAGAGCAGATGAGGAACTAAAAATCCCTAGTTTTGTCATCTAATCTAATACTCTTTTTCTTTTGGTACTATGATTCTTATTTTAAGTCGTAACACTAATATAAGGGAATGCTACAAGTCTCTGAATTTCTTGACTATATTGCACTTTGACTAATTCTAATAAGGGATCCAGATGTGAAAAAACAAATCATAAAAGTTCAAGTCATTTAGGATTTGCTTTCTATAATAAGATTTTTGTAAACTAAAATAATCATTTCTCGTACGTACAACAAAATTGTCTAGGTAAAAATTCATGAAATATACATCAAATTCACCAGCATATTCTTTTTAAAATTTTAAGTAACTGCTATCCTACCTGATTCTTCTTCTCCAGACGCTGCTAGAAGTGGAGGCAAACCATCTGCATCATCAGGTAGAAGACAAATCTTGTTGCAAACATATTTGTCAATACCACACAATAACCTATAATCTGACATAGTGGCAACAGGTAAATTGCTATTAACTATGATACCAGTTGAATTAGATGGCTCCTCAATTTCTGCAAAAACATCATCATCTAGAGTAAAAGAAGCAGCATTCAGTAACCCCTCAGTTGCTGTATTTATAAGCATTTTTTCTGAAGATGAGACATGAGAAATAGGATTCTGAATTATCTCATTTCTTGTACTATCTCCTATTTCATTGTTTCGTTTTCCCACTGTTGTAGAAAGAGTATGATCTCCTGTGTTTACAATCTGTAAAATACAGAAAACAAATTAATCACTTCATATTATCTGTTCAACCACAAATGTTGATACCTATAATCAAATTCCTTCTAGTAAGAATAAAAACCACAATGTATTCATAAATTTTTCTGAAATCAAAGTTCCCAAGAAACAATGCCATTGTACTTCTCTAAGTTCAGAGGCAGATGCCATTAAAGAGCATAAGGTTTTACTCTTACTGCATGCTTAGGTAGATATTAATGAGTCTAATATTATTGACTTGAAAAGTATTATTTAACATTATCGACTTTAGTATTATTGACTTAAAAGAGAAGTTGAGGATCCAGCTCAACTCAGCCAGTCAAAAAAGCTCTGGAAGGGTAGGTGAAAAGGAAAGGAGGGAAGGAGGGGAGTGATTAGGAAGCAGAAGACAGATACATTCCATAATAGCAACCACCTAAAAAAACTACCCATCAAGACAGGTTTAATAAAGCCACCTTCCCCTTTTTAATACCAGCATGAAGACTTGAACTTAGGTCCTTGAGCTCAGCTATTTTGCTCACAGTAGGTATTCTATCACTTGAGTCATACCTCCATTTCTGGCTTTTTGCTGGCTAACTGAAGATAAGAGTCTCTTGGATTTGTCTGTCCAAAGGCTTCAAACCACAGATTCTTAGACCTCAGCCTCCTGAGGAGCTAGGGTAATAGGCATGAGCCACCAACATCTGGCAAGCCCCCCTTTCTCTAAACTGTCTGGAATAATAGTGAGAACAATTCATGAAATCAAGTGATAATGTATTATCCTGTTTATAACTTTCATTTTGTTGAAATAATGATTAAGAATAGGTGACAGCTAAGGACATCCTTTGGATAATTGAGCTTATTTGTAAATTTGAATTCAAGAACCCATACTTACAAATGGCATGTTCTACATCTTCTGTTTAAACCTAGCTCTTTTATGTAAATGCATAAATAATCACTACCAGAATCTTTCGAGAAGTTTTCAAAAACATTAATTCAATATTGATCTAAATTTAAAAAAAGTCTCAGTTACATTTCATTGTAGCAATATGTGGCCCACGGATCCCTGGCATTGCCAGGGAGTTGATAATGTCCTAGGATTCTCTTCCATGAAATTAATGAACATAACATATCATAAAACACTATGGGCAGAAGTGATGTGAAATTTGTGTCCTGTTAATGCAAACATTTTTAAAAAATAGTAAAAATGTGAACTAATTTCATTCTTCTTACTAAAATACTTCTGTTTAAAAATATTTTTCCTGAAAATATTATTTCTATTAGAATAGTGAACTATTCTAAAATTTACTCTATTTTAATTTTAAATACAGAAATTAGTAATAAAAAACCCATACAACTTCTGTCTTTCAAGCCCTCCCTAACTTTAAACATGTAATAGGGACCCAAGACCAAAGAGTTTCAGAGCCATTGCCTTAAGTTCACACTAAAAAGAATAAAAATCTAAACTGCATAAAGATATAAATATACTACATAAACTACAGAAATAAGGACATATCTCAGAGAGACTGTGGGCTCAGTTCCAGGCCATAGTTAATAAAGCAAATCATTTAAATTGCTTTTGGTTATCAGAAAATACAGAAGTTATGTTTATACTATATTGCAGTCTATTAAGCATGTAATAGTATTATATAAAAAAATATAGCTGGGTGCCAGGGGCTCATGCTTGTAATTCTAACTACTCAGGAACCCGAGATCTAAGGATCGTGGTTCAAAGTTAGACTGGGCAGAAAAGTCCATGAGACTGTTACCTCCAATTAACTACCAAAAAAGCTAGAAGAGGAGCTGTGGCTCAACTGGTACATTGCTAGCCTTGAGCAAAAGAGCTCAGGGTTAGCGCCCAAGCCCTGAGTTCAAGCCCCAACACTGGCACAGCTTTTTAAAGTACACAGCTTCATTTAAAAATGCTTTTACTGCTAAAAAAAATTTTTTTTGGGGGGGTCCGGTCGTGGGGCCTGAACTCTGGGCCTGGGCGCTGTCCCTCAGCTCTTCAGCTCAAGGCTAGCACTCTACCACTT